TGGTGGGGTTCAGAATGCTCTTTCATTGTAGGTGAACTATAAATCCCAGCAACTACAACTCCCAAATAACAAAATCAATTTTTTGAGTGAGGGGCATACATTGGGTTGTTAGGTGTCTTGTGTCCAAATTTGGTGTCTATTCGTCCAGTGGTTTTTGACGAAGTTTGCCCCAATTCTGTCGTTGGTGGAGTTCAGAATGCTCTTTGATTGTAGGTGAACTATAAATCCTAGTAACTACAACTCCCAAATGTTAAGGTCTATTTCCCCCAAACTCCATCTGTGTTCATATTTGGGCATATGGAATATTTGTGCCAATTTTGGTCCAGATCCATCATTGTTTGCATCCACGGTGCTCTCTGGATATAGGTGAACTACAACTCCCAAACTCAAGGTCAATGCCCACTAAACCCTTCTAGTGTTTCTGTTGGTCATGGGATCCTGTGTGCCAAGTTTGGTTCAATTCCATCATTGGTGGAGTTCAGAATGCTCTTGGATTGTAGGTGAACTATAAATCCCAGCAACTACAACTCCAAAATGACACAATCCATTTTTTGAGTGAAGAACATACATTGGGTTGTTAGATGTCTTGTGTCCAAATTTGGTGTCAATTCGTCTAGTGGTTTTTGAGTTCTGTTAATCCCACAAACGAACATTACATTTTTATTTATATAGACTAGCTGTAACCGCCACATGTTGCTGTGGCCAACCTTCCCCTCCCTCTTTCCCCCCTCCCTCCCTCCCTCCCTCCCTCCCTCCCTCCCTCCCGCTTTCCTTCCTTCCTTCCTTCTTTCCTTCACTTTTTTCTTTCCTTCTCTCCTTCCTTTCTTCCTTCCTTCCTTCCTTCCCTTCCTTCCCTTTTTCCTTCCTTCCTTCCAGATTTGCCATGGCCTTCTTCTGACAGAGCTCAAGTCCCAGCTGCTAGTCCCAATATTAGAGTAGATCTTTTCACTCAGTTGTGAGATGGTAAATCCACACCTACAGAAAGTCCACTCAAACAATGGATCTATCCTGGTTTGGATTAGGAATTGGAGTTAAGTCATTATCCATTGATAACCTCTTTTACAAGCCTGTAGCCAAGGGGGTGGGTGGGTTTTAGGGCAGGGGTCCACAAACTTTTTAAGCAGAGGGCCAGGTCACAGTCCCTCAAACTGTTGGAGGGCCGGATTATAATTTGAAAAATAAAACATGAATTCCTGTGCACGCTGCACATATCTTATTTGTAGTGTAATAAACACTTAAAAACAATACAATAATTAAAATGAGGAACAATGTTAACAAATATAAACTTATTAGTATTTCAATGGGAAATGTGGGCCTGCTTTTGGCCGATGAGATAGGATTGCTGTCATTTCAGACTTAGGTTGACCCTGAGCAAGGGCCGGGTAAATGACCTTGGAGGGCCGCATCTGGCCCCTGGGTCTTAGTTTGAGGACCCCTGGTTTAGGGGGTCAAACCACACACACACCCCAATTTTTTAGGTAAAAAGACCTTGGTTTACTCATGAATTTTAACTGGTTAACCAAATACCCATGCCAAGTCTATGAGAAGCAAAAATTAGAGTCCTTCCAGGACTGCAACCACTAACTAAACCAAATTTTGACCATTCACAGTATCATTACCTACCTTTTTACCAATTTACATTGCAATGGCAGCGATAGCTGGCATAGTGGAAACTGCCAAAATGTGGTAGCCAGCATGCAAAGCCTAAGGCATGGGGTGGGACGGGATATGGATTTGACCTGGATAGTAGGTGGAAACTGAGGAAGCTGGAAACTGACGTGTCTCCTGCTGGTTCATCTAATCCAGTGGTTCTCACCCTGTGAGTCCCCAGATGTTTTGGCCTTCAACTCCTAAAAATCCTACAGCCGGTACATTGACTGGGATTTCTGGGAGTTGTAGGCCAAAACACCTGGGGACCCACAAGTTGAGAACCACTGATCTGATCTAAGCCCTGCCAAAGAAACCATGAGCAGAGAGAAGAAACTGTGAACAAGAGTGTTTCTGATGACCAAGTAAAATCTAAGTTAGTGCAAAACTCTGAACTCTGATGCAACATAATTTTGCTCAAATTTAATACGGAATTTTGACATGATTTGGACATGGCACAATCACAAAAACAGCCAGTTACCTAATCAGCTGTGGCAAGACCATGTCTTTAAAAATATTTTTAGGTTATAAATTACACTATATAACACATTTTGAAAAAAAAATCTGTTCCTGTTTTGAAAGTCTTATTTCCTGTTTAATTATGTGGTACTTACTTGGAAAGTAGTTGTTTATGCTCCAGAAACTTCATTTTGTGGCTGCCGCAAACTATGTTGCATTGATGTATTGTTGAAGGCTTTCATGGCCAGAATAACTGGGTTGTTGTAAGTTTTTTGGGCTGTATGGCCATGTTTGAGAAGCATTCTCTCCTGACATTTTGCCTGCATCTATGGCAGGCATCCTCAGAAGTTGTGAAATCTGTTGAAAGCTAGGCAAGTGAGGCTTTCCAACAAACCTCACAACCTCTGAGGATGCCTGCCATAGATGCAGGCAAAACATCAGGAAAGAACATGGCCATACAGCCCCAAAAGCTTACAACAACCCCATATTGCATTGGTTGAGATGCTATGAGATATTCACTGAAAAACTAGACAAAATATGCTGCAGGATGTCCTGCAAAAACCAAGTTTTAAAAAGTAATAAACTTTTCCCATGTTTTTATGATAGAACCAATTAGGAAACAACATCTATAACCTAGGAACAAAATCATATTACGTGGTATTAGTAATAAAGATAAATTCTGCAGACTTGTGTATAAATTTGCTAATTATATTCATCATCTCTATATTTAATTCTCCCAGTTTGTGGTAGTAACTGGAGAGGAACAAGTTTCTTTTGGAGTAGTGGATGAAAACATGTTGATGCAGCAAGAGCAAGTTTGATTTTTCTTGTTCTTGCTGGATAAATTCTGACACAGTGAGAATGTACTATCCCTGAAAGAGTTCAAAGAGGCTCCAACCAGTAGCACCCTCCACCTATATCTACACACATCAGAAGTCACTGAACAGCACTTTTCTTATTGATATTCTGTCATTCTGTCAAGAAAGCAGAGATCAAGGAGATTAAACACATAGTTCTGATTCATGGATAAAATGCTGGCCTACACATATGATTTCTGTGGCCCCAAATCCTTTATTGGACCTGTGCAAACTCTCTTTTATTTTCAAAAGGGCATGTGTTTTGGAGGGGACCAAAGAAGTCAACTGAATGTCATAAAATCATTTGCCCGCTAGGCGCGTTTCTAATGCGCTGCTGGTGTGGAATCGGTGTAATGATAATCCCCTTAGTGGCAGCAGAAGGTCCCCTTAGGAAACTATAACAAATATTAAACAATTCCTTTTGTTGACTTTATCCAAGAAGCCATCTTCCCTGGAGGCTCAGCTCAACTTTAGATTAATCCTCTCCTTCCCCCAGGAGTCCTTTTGTTGGGAAAGATCGGAAACAAACCCCAAGAATGACAAGTCTGTCTCTAAGCCTTGGATCAGTTGCCGCATTCTTAAAATTATCAGCTCCCATCTGTTCTGTTTGTTCAGCCAATGATCTGGTCCAGGGATATCTCTATTAAGAAACAATTGGATTTATCCTAGAGGTCCAGTGATCAGGCTCGCACTGTTAACATCTTGGTTGCCAAGTCAATCTTTCTGACATGGCAAATGTGGGATAGCAGACAGACATCTGTAGTTTCCTCTTTCACTGACACATTTGCATGAAGGGAAGACCTGCCCATTTGCCAGATTCTTTCTAGTAGCCTCTTAAGATTCACTAAGCAAACTTATAAGAGCAATCTGAAGAATCAATGTATAGAGAATTATTTTCAATTGTTTTTAAAATGAAAAATATTTTTTCTCTTTCAATAATTATGTATCTTGCTTTTGTTTAGCCTGAATGGTGCCCCCGTTGGCGCAGTGGGTTAAACCCCTGTGCCGGCAGGACTGAAGACCGACAGGATGCAGGTTCGAATCCGGGGAGAGGCAGATGAGCTCCCTCCATCAGCTCCAGCTCCTCATGTGGGAACATGAGAGAAGCCTCCTACAAGGATGATAAAACATCAAAAAAATCATCCAGGCGTCCCCTGGGCAACGTCCTTGCAGACAGCCAATTCTCTCACACCAGAAGCGACTTGCAGTTTCTCAGGTCGCCCCTGACACGACAAAAAAAAAAGTCTGAATTAAACCTGAACCCAACTGCAGCCCGGCAGCCCCAGTGCAGCATGGTTGATGTACAGCACCCTATACTAGCCAAGCTCTGCTTCATTTGCACCTTTAACACAACTTTGTTGACCTTATCAGATGGGATTGTTTTTGGTTGCATATTCCAGTTCCTCTGCACGAACTCTCCTTTGCAATGGAGACTTCCAGCTCCCACCCCAAGGCATAGAACTACTTCCGGCGGGGCTTCATCTCAAAACTGTAGAGGAACCGTTATATGCCACCACTGCAGCAACACGAGAGGATTTCTGTGTTGCATTGGGGTCAACAGGGGGAAGCACAGCCATGGATGCTTCCCTCAGTGGGAAATAGTGGCGAAGCTGGGCAATGCGGGATGTGGGGAGACAGGTTCCAGCATGGCAATTCCGTGATGATTCCGGTGGCACGTATGATGAGGTCATATAGAATCATAGAATCATAGAGTTGGAAGAGACCTCATGGGCCATCCAGTCCAACCCCCTGGCAAGAAGCAGGAAAACTGCATTCAAAGCACCCCCGACAGATGGCCATCCAGCCTCTGTTTAAAAGCTTCCAAAGAAGGAGCCTCTACCACACTCTGGGGCAGAGAGTTCCACTGCTGAACAGCTCTCACACTCAGGAAGTTCTTCCTAATATTGAGATGGAATCTCCTTTCCTGTAGTTTGAAGCCATTGTTCGCATCCTAGTCTCCAGAACAGCAGAAAACAAGCTTGCTCCCTCCTCCCTATGACTTCCTCTCACATATTTATACATGGCCATCATGCCTCCTCTCAGCCTCCTCTTCTGAACGTTAAGCATTCCCAGCTCTTTAAGCTGCTCATCATAGGGCTTGTTCTCCAGACTCTTGATCATTTTAGGACTCTTGATATATTCCAGCTTATCAACATCTCCCTTCAATTGTGGTGCCCAGAATTGGACACAGTATTCCAGATGTGGTCTAACCAAGGCAGAATAGAGGGGGAGCATGACTTCCTTGGATCTACACACTAGACTATTGATGCAGGCCAAAATCCCATTGACTTTTTTTGCCACCACATCACATTGTTGGCTCATGTTTAACTTGTTGTCCACAAGGACTCCAAGATCTTTTTCACACGTACTGCTCTCGAGCCATGCGTCCCCATTCTACATCTTTGCATTTCATTTTTTCTACCTAAGTGGAGTATCTTGCATGTGAGCATGTGGTTCAAGTACCATATGGCGGTGACACTGTTTTTGAGTCTCCAAAAGCTGACAATTATGCTGCATTGTAAGGAAAAATTTAGTCTCCTTTGGCTAGTAAGTATCAGCAATTCTCTCAAGCAGAGATGATCAATAGCATTCATTGCCCACCCCCTCCACTCCTTTATTCTTCACCAAAACTTGCTAGAACTGATGGGATGGTGGCTTTTCTCATATGGAGCAAAGAGATCAAACATTTCTGGTTTCAGCTTCACTCCTGGGACTGTGAAGATGGACTGCTCTATGAAGAAAACAAAAGGGAAAGTATTAGTGGAAGTATAGCTTCCCAAATAAGAGGGTATTGGAGCAAAACTATCTTTAATAGAGGGCAACCATTGCTGTTTTGGAATAAAGCTCTTCCCTGCAATGCCACTCCACCTGGGAATGCTGCATGAATTGCCCTCACAGATGCGAATAGAAGGATGTGTTAAGAGGAAATAATTATTTCACTAATATTTGTGTTTCCATGAGAGAACACCTAAGGGATTGCAACAGAGCTAGTTTCCTTTATTGCAGGTCTGCACAAACCGTGGCCCTCCAGCTGTTTTGGCTTCCAACTCCCAGAGTTCCTAGTCATTGGACAAGCTGGCCAGGGCTTCTGGGAGTTGGAGGCCAAAACAGCTGGAGGTTGTGCAGACCTGCGCTCCGTATAAGGAAATAAAGTGGGTTGGGCAGTCTATTATTTATTTATTTTATTTCAAACATTTGTATCCCACTCTTCTCAACCCTCGAGGGAGGTCTCAGGGTGGCTTACAACTAGCAACAATTCAATGCCAACACACATATCATAACAATGTAATACAAGTTAAGCATTAATTAAAACATTAAAATATAAAATATCCATTTTTGTTTTTAAAGGCAAAGGGCTAATGAAAAATATTGGCAAGCTTAGTATGGATTTCCAGTAATAAATGTTAGCCTCATATATTAATAATAATAATAATAATAATAATAATAATAATACACTTTATTTATACAGCTACCATCTCCCTAATGAGGACCCGGGGCGGCTAACATGAGGTCAAGCTCAAAAGATACAATACATCACAGCAAAATACAGAATGCAACCCCCCCCCCCAAAAAAAAAACCCCAACAAAACTTACATTAGAAAATAAACAATAGTAGCAAAACACACAATGAAACAAATTAACACAATATAAAATCGAACAGGATGGGCAGGCCAAATGGACAAGATAAAATGATAAAACCCTGGGAGAGGTAGGAGTAGAAAAAGTATAAGTGAGGGGAGCCCAAGAAGAATGAAAACAGTGGGGTAAGGCTTTCAGATTAGAGCAGGGGAAAGAGGAAAGCATTGGAGGGGTGGAGATTACAATGCAGAAGATATGTATTTGACAATGGAATATGCTGCCACCTCTGCATGTCTCTAAGCAGAGGCTGTATGACCATCCGTCATGAGGGCTCTGATAGTGTACCCCTGATGTCATAGCTCGGTTGGACTGGATGCCCTCTTGGGTCTCTCTCAACCATGACTCCGTGTTGGACTGTGACTCCCATCATCCCCATCTGATGATAAATGTGTAGTGGGTGGGAGTTTTGGAATGTGCCATGCTTTCATCCTCAAATTTATGAGAATTGTAGTCCGGCACAGAATCATAGCTGGAAGAGACCCCCAAGCGCCATTCAAGCCAACCCTATTTCCGCCAGGTAGGTGGACACCATCAAAACATCCCCCAACAAATGACCATCCAACCTCTGCTGAATAACATCCACAGATTGGAGCTGAAATCCAACAAATGTGCCAGCTGACAGTTTTGAAAGTATGCATTGCTCAGTCCTTTCTGGGAAAGTAACGACTTTTAGGATTCTTTTGAATCAGCTCAAATTGTCTACTTGAGCTAGAAATTTCTTCATCCATACCATCATTCCTGCATTGTCTCATAATTTCATGCTAAAGTATAAATGGTGCAGTGGTAGAAGCACCAGAGCCAGTAGTGATACTGATTGTGAGATTCTGGAAGTTATTGTTCCAAAATTTAACTTTTCAAAGTTAAATTTAACGTCTCAGACCAGCAATAAATTGACCCCCTGTGCATGAATCTTCAGTTATCCCAAATCCCCAGAAACTGACATGGGGTGCTCATTGCATGTCACAAGAATTGCCAAAGCCAACCCAACAACTCACAAACCTGTGATTTTGTACTCTCAAGATAATGTGCAGTGAGGGCACTGATGCATCATCCTCGCAGTGAGATGTGCAAGATGTAATTGTTGGTAGCACTGATAGGAGTTCTCTGTTATCATGCAAACCTAAACACATATATTAAAAAGGAGTGACTTGCTATCTCGCCAGATTAGGCAGGAACTGCTGAATCACTGTCCTTGGCTCCAGTAATCAACTGCTTATCAGACTAAACTGCCAGGTTTTTAGCAGCAGAAGTCTTTGTTTTCCTTCAAAGGCTTTCCCGGTCACCTTTGTTTACAGCCTTCCTATGAGGACATTGCTGACAATCCTAGCATTAAAAAAATGTAGGTCACATTTCTCTAAGCATCAGGCTTGGCTTGGCACTCTTTCAACTCATGTTTTCCCTCTTAGGTTTCTACCTTTCTATCAGCACACTGGGGCCCCATCTACACTGCCATACAAAATCCAGCTGATCTGCTTTGAAGTGGATCATATGGCAGTGTAGACTCATATAATCCAGTTCGAAGTAGATAATGTGAAGTATCTGATTTGATAATCTGAATGATATGGCAGTGTAGAAGGGGATTGGGTTACCACAGGCTGTTGTTTTTCTTATTGGTTTATTTATTATTTATTTATTTCAAATATTTGTACCCCATCCTTCTCTACCTCCAAAGGGGGGCTCAGGGCAGCTTACAGTCAGCAACAATTCGATGCCCCCCATATACAACAGATAAAACAACAGTTACATAATAAGTAAAATATTAAAATTAGATTAAAAAGCATTTAAAATTGTGCAAATTGAATTTGTTGGCATGTCTAAGGTTAAGTTCTACGAATGACAACTCAATCCAAAGCCTTTCCACAGTCCATTTTCCATAGCATTGTTGTCATTTTTATTGTCAGCCTGCTATCCGAATGCCTGGTCCCATAGCCACATCTTCAACTTTTTCCTGAAGGAAAGGAGGGAAGCCATTGACCTAATTTCGCTGGGAAGCTAGTTCCATAGGCGGGGGGCCACCGTCGAGAAGGCCCTGTCCCTCATCCCCACCAAGCGCGTTTGTGACAAAGGTGGGATCAAGAACAGGGCCTCCCCGGAAGATTGTAAGTTTTGAGGTGGGACATAGGGGGAGATATGTTCGGACAAGTAAGCTGGGCCAGAACCATATAGGGCTTTATAGGTCAATACCTTTATAGGTTTACCAATCTCTCTGTGAGTCCAACTACTTCTGATGCCAACTGTAATTTGGCTATATACTTGAATTGATATACATTCCAAATTTATTACTATTGTTGTTTTTGTTGTTGTTGTTCATTCATAGAATCATAGAATCAAAGAGTTGGAAGAGACCTCATGGGCCATCCCGTCCAACCCCCTGCCAAGAAGCAGGAATATTGCATTCAAATCACCCCCTGACAGATGGCCATCCAGCCTCTGTTTAAAAGCTTCCATAGAAGGAGCCTCCACCACACTCCGGGGCAGAGAGTTCCACTGCTGAACGGCTCTCACAGTCAGGAAGTTCTTCCTCATGTTCAGATGGAATCTCCTCTCTTGTAGTTTGAAGCCATTGTTCCGCGTCCTAGTCTCCAGGGAAGCAGAAAACAAGCTTGCTCCCTCCTCCCTGTGGCTTCCTCTCACATATTTATACATGGCTATCATATCCCCTCTCAGCCTTCTGGTATCAAGGTAAATTCGTTCAGTTGCTTCCAACTCTTCATGACCTCATGGACCAGACCACGCCAAAGCTCCCTGTCTGCCATCACCACCCCCAGCTCCTTCAAGTTCAAGCCAATCACTTCAAGGATACCATCCATCTATCTTGTCCTTGGTCGGCACCTCTTCCTTTTTTTCTTTCATTTTCCCCAGCATCATTGTCTTCTCCAAGCTTTCCTGTCTTCTCATGATGTGGCCAAAATACTTCATCTTCACTTCTAATATCCTTCCCTCCAGTGAGCAGTTGGGCTTTATTTCCTGGAGTATGGACTGGTTGGATCTTCTTGAGGTCCAAGGCACTCTCAGAACCTTCCTCCAACACCACAATTCAAAAGCATCCATCTTCCTTCACTCAGCCTTCCTTATGGTCCAGCTCTCATATCCATAAGTTGCTACAGGGAATACCATTGCTTTAACTATGAGGATCTTCATTGCCAGTGTGATTATTACTATAATTGTATCTATTCTTGTGAGTTGTTCTTCTCTGGATGACTACTCTTGTATTTACTGTTGGCAGATCCATCTTTCAGCCTCTTCAGCTGTGATCCTTGAAAGGGGCTTTTTCAAAGTCATGGCTACTTGTGCTTCTTCTGAGCATAACCTGGAACTGCAACATGTGCAGCTGACCAGAGAGATGATCCTAAAAAGTTTCCATAACTGTGGAGCCTTTGAGATGAGCAGCTCTCCTTGGACTTTGTTGCTTTCTACAGATATCATGAGGAGAAGGCTTATGGGTGCATCCGACCCCTTCTACCCTGCCATACAATCCAGATTATCAAAGCAGATAATCCACATTACTGCTTTGAACTGGATCATATGAGTCTACACTACAGGTAATCTGGATGATGATGATGATGATGATGATGATAATGCGTAAAGACCTTGGCCTGCACTTAAACACAATCGGCGCTGACAAAATTACCATCTGCCAGCTGGAGAAGTCCACCTTACTGGGATCTGCGTGTATTATTAGTGGATACACAGTCCTATACACTTGGGAAGTGTCCGACGTGTGATCCAATTCAACAGCCAGCAAAGTGTCTGCTGTGGACTCATCTTGTTGTGTTTCAAATAATAATAATAATAATAATAATAATAATAATAATAATAATAATAATAATAACTTTATCTTTCTACCCCGCCTCCATCTCCCTGAAGGGACTCATCATGGAGCAATGCGCAGGCAACATACAATTAAAAACAGAACAACAAAATATAAAAAGCATAAAAACAACAAACATCATAAACAATAAAAGCAAGCATCATAAGCAACAACATAGGTACCATGTGAAGGGGCCCAAGAGTGCCCTATCTCCAAAATATGACACAAGGTAGGCAAATCAAATTTGGCCTACAGCCCTTTGTGTTCCCCCAGAATTGTGA